TTAAACCACAAAGATTCTTTAAAAGTTTCAATAGCAACAATATATTCAGATTCAGTAGTGGATAAAGCAACAACACGTTGAAATTGTGATTTCCAGATAACACATGAATTACATAAAGTAAACACATAGGAAGATGTAGATTTCTTCTTACCTCTATCACCGGCATAATTAGCATCAGTAAAGCTTTTCAATTTTACTTCTTCAGAACTAAACTTATGTATTAAACCAGCATTTCATGTTCCTTTCAAATATCTAAACAGCCATTTTAAAACTTCCCAGTGTTTGGGACCAGGATTAGACGTATACCTGCTAAGTGTACTAAGAAGGTGTCAAATTAATCAGATAGCATGCATTCATAACAGTTTCACCCTAAAAAGATTTAGGAATACCAGAACTCAACATCAACATCTAACTTTATCAAGTAAAGTATGATTTATACGTTCAGCCACCTCGTTTTGTTGAGGTGTATAAGGAACCATTTTATGTCTAGTAATTCCACATTTTTCACACATATCATCAAAATTATTATTACAGAATTCAAGGTAATTATCAGTTCTTAGATATTTTATTTTTTTGGCCAGTTTGAGTTTCAACATGCAAATTCCATGTTTTGAAATTTTTGAAGGTTTCAATTTTATCTTTTAACAAATAAAGTCATGCCCTACGAGAATAATCATCAATTATGGAAAAAAAATCTATTACCACTCATTGTAGAATTAGTAGCAGACCCCCATAAATCAGTATAAATATATTCCAAAATTTTAATACTTTTGTATACACCAGATGAGAAAGATAACTTATGATATTTACCAAGCACACAGTGATCACAGAAAGACATATTAGATACACAATATTTTTCAAATACACCTTTATCATTTAGCAGTTTAAGTCCTTTAATACTTATGTCAGCTAATCTATTGTGTCACTTGTGTGTGTCATTCGTGTTGGTCAAATTTATAGAAGAAAATGAATTTTTAATAATTTCAGCAGTAGTAACATAAATACCGTTTCTTTTAGTACCCTTACATGTGACAAAAGCATTCTTAATCATTTTTAACATGTTTCCAATTTTACCAGTAAAAACATCGATTTCTAAAGCTCCTGCCGAAATAAGATTCCTAGCCATTTCAGAAATATATCTGACTCCATGTAATTTAAGCACATAACTAGTGTCAAATTTTAATGCGATATCACCAATTCCAGCAATTTTATATGCATGATTATTGCATAAAATAGCATGACCACTTTCAGATTCTAGCAAATTTTCAAACCAAGCTTTATTTGATGACACGTGAAATGATGCACCAGAATCAAGTATCCATTCATGCAAAAGTGATTTCACAGTCAAATT